TGGGTGGACTGAGTTGTGTCTGCAACCATCTGATTATACTGTTAACCTAATGGTACCTAACATAAACCCATTTAGGTAGACACCTTCAATTTATGCAGAAATAGGCTACTAATGAGCCATTTGTAGGCACGTTAGTCCCTTTGTCTCTGGACTGCATCTGCCACTAATTACGTAAAAGGCAGTTGCTTTTAGTAAGAGGCCACCGCAAGCAAGTAATCTTGTTTAAAAGCTTGAGGCCAACAACAGAGAGGAGGCTGTCAGTTACAGAAAAGTTTGACTCACAAATAAAAGCCCACACTACAAACAATTGATAGTTCATTACATTTAAAAAGTGTTTTCTTTTTTTTCCTTCTACAGTGAGTTTTGTTCCATTTTTTCAATCGATGTAAAACGATTTCATCCAWATTGGTTTGTTGTTTCATTTTCATATTTGACTGCTGCATTGTTTTTATTCCCAGACGCTTTATAACTGCTGAGTTCATAAGTAATACAGCAATGCCAGCTGATTTAGGATCGACAGACAAAATTAGAACAAATGCAGTTGGAGATAAACAAATCACACGTTTGGCTCGTAGCAAGGATAGAGTGGCTTACAAATTAAAGAAACTCCAGACTGATTAGTAGATGGTGAACATCATGTTTTAGTCAGAGTAACTGATTTGTTAGGAATTATTTTATTTTTAATAAAAGACCTTGCATTTTTTTGAGGAAATGCATATTACCCGCTGACTTTCGTGTCCAAGCATAAGAATAAATGTTGATGTGAAAAAACTTGCAGTTTGTTCAAACATTAAAAATAACATTTTACACATTTCATTCCTTATCACACAATGTTACAGTCAGAATACATGTATGTGTTGTGAATAAAGCTCAGTTACTACATGAACTTCTTGCTCAATATCTGTGAAATTGATTGACATATCTCCATTTTTGTTGGCTACTTTTGTTTATCTGTGGTGGTCTTGAATTACATTAACTTCAAAAAGTAAATCAATTGTAGAAGTACATCCTATTACCTTTTGAAAGTTTCATGAAAATTTGCCCAGTGGTTCATGAGATATTTTGCTAACAGGCAGACGTATTTAAGGGCAAAAACAATATGGTCCCCTTTCAGCAGCAGTTCTGTCTCAGAAAATAAAATCAGAAGTTATTTCATGTATTTCCATCAATCAAACATACATACTGCATGGTATAACCAAAACAATGAACTTTCTGTAATTATATTTGGATGAAATCAACAAAAGAAACAGTGAAAACAACATTATGAAGATGACAAATAACAGAACAAAGAGTGCAGTTCTCTGGCCAGAGGGAAACCCTTCTAAAATGGGCTTACACACACCACTTACTGTTTGCTATTGTTTGAACAAAACAATTAAGTCAAGCAGAGTATGGTACACTGTTCCTCCAATCAGCGCGTCCTCCTCGTTGTTTGTGAGGGGAGTTCAGTGTTCCCACTGAAACGCTGCGAGGCACTTATT